CCCCCCCCACCCGAAAATAAATAAAATGGGGGAGTACGCCCCCGACTGGATGAATAGACTGGAATGGCATAGGGGTCATCCAGAAAGTTCGTCCGTCATTCATCGTTGCGAAACTGTCAGGATAAGCCTATGCAAGCTCTCATAGCGCCTGGCAGGTAGGCAACATCTGACCTCCAGTGCATGGGTGTATGGCGGGGTTGCCTACCCCGAGGCTTACAGGCTCCGAGCGTCCGTAATTTATCGAATGAATTTGAGAAAAACGGACGTACTTCCTGGATGACCCCCTCCCCCCATCTATCTCTCAAATAAAAATATTCACGATTGTCGCCTCACACCCCTTACCGCCCAAGTGTCATCGACGAGAGTCTTCCAGGTAAAGTTGCCGTCGATCGTCTGCAGAGTAGTCTGGATGAGGGCTTGGGTCCTGAAGTGCGACGGTCTGATGTGGAGCTTGACCATGTTCTCCTTGTTGGGCGTTGGACACTCGTACATTCGGTCCATGTACATTATAAACGGCCCCTACCACCCAAGCAAAAAGTTCATAGTGTAGTAACTCGTCGTATTTTGTGACAAAGCCCAGCTCGAGTGGGTCGAACTCACCGCATAGGAAGGTATCCACTTGGAGGAGCTCGCCCGGCCTGGGGGGATCTCCGCTCGAACCTCATGCCTCAGAGACGAGAGTAGAGCAGCAAGGCTCAGCACGCCGCTCAAACCTGAGACAAACGCAATGCTTTCTCAACATGACGGCGTGGCCGAACGCGCTGGATGAACCTGTCCGCGAGCTTCTCACACCATCCTCACATGACATTGTGCCAGCCGTGTCGCCGCGTGGCCTCTTCACATGGCCGTCGTCCCCGTTTTGACTCGATGCCGAGGGGTTGATCCCACCATTCCCTCACCGTCTTACGACGACCCGCACACCGCACAGCTGTATCGATGTTCCAGACGAGGCGGTGGCGGCTCGGTGGCGGCTGCCTGGTGTCCGACGTGACCGTCCGGAGAACACTACATGACTAGAACCGTCCATCCCCGCCCACGGCCCACACTGCATGCGAGTATCGGGGGCAATCTATCTTTACTACGGTCTACAGTATGGTATACGGCTATAACAAAGAAAAAGTGAAATCACACACGGGATCTCCACTCGTGAATCGGGGGGAAAGAGGGGGAGGGTGTAGTTCACTGCGAAGCAAACGTTCCTTTTTTTGTGAAGTTTTCTCGTGCAGTGCATCAAACGTTTCTGTGTCGTGATTTTTCGTATCGTGAGTTTTCTTCGGGTGAAGCGATACCGCCGTGGCCGCCTCTGTCGTGTCGCCAGTGACGTGTTTATTGTCATATAAATGCCGCAGCCGGCGCCACCGCTCAGCTCAGACTGGCGCTCGAGCGTGTCGGCCCCACACCTGCTCGCCGACATGAAGTTCGCCCCGCTGGTAATGTCGTGCCTGCTGCCGGCCGCGGCGCTGGCCTGGACGCAGGGCTGCATCTCCAAGCCGGTCGGCTTTGGCTACAAGACCACCGGCGGCACGGGCGGTGCGTGGCCTGCGTGGCGCGTGGCGCTGCCGCTGCAACCAATGGGTATGGCAAGGGTCTGATGTGAGGTTTCGGTCGGCCTGCAGGGAGGACCGTGGTCCCGACGAGCCCCGCCGAACTCAAGCAGTACCTCAGCAGCACCGAGACACTCATCATCGACCTGGACCGCACGTACGACTTTACCCAGCTCGAGGGCTCCAAGACGGAGAACGGCTGCTGGTACAACCAGTGCGGCAGCGGCCCGCAGAAGTCCCTGTCGCTGTACAACGCGTGCGCGGGCCGGTCCACCACCTCCGTTACGTACTCCGTGGCGGGCTCGCGGACGCTCGAGCTCGTCATCGGCTCCAACAAGACCATCCGGAGCTCGAACGGAAAGGGCGTCATCAAGGGCAAGGGCGTCACGTTCAAGAAGTCCAAGAACGTCATCTTCCGCGACATCACCATCAGCGACATCAACCCGCAAGTGATCTGGGGCGGCGACGCCATCGTGCTGAACGGCGCGACGGACATCTGGATCCACCGGTGCACCATCAGGGTGAGGAGCCCGACCTGGGCGGACGGACACTGGACTGTGTCACAGCGGCCATGGACAGCATTAGCCAGTGGGAGAAAGACAGACTCATTTTGACTTATGGACAGTCCAAAGGAGTGGGAAGGGGGGGGGGGGGTAAAGGTGCTCCCATAACACGCACCCCAAGGTAACGCGAGGTAAGATTGGGCGATAAACGCGCTCTTATACGCTTCTGCACTCGGGTGCGGGCGGGCCGCCGTTTTCACGCAGCTGCTTGGCGGGATGGCCTACCCAGCGCGTAACAGGCGCTGTCATAAGCGCTGCCGCGCGAGGAGTTCATTCCCCACACGGGAAGATCTACGGGGAATCTAGGTAGAATCTGCGGGATTTTCGTGGAACTGAACATCCCATGTGGAATCGTCGGGATGGGATACGTCAACAATACTGTAGGGGGAGGGGCCTGGAGCGAAAGCGCGACACTGAGGCACTCGGAGACAGTTCCCCTAGCGCCACAAAATTGTTTCCTGGTCTCCGACTGGTTCTCTTGCCGTATCGATAGAGTAAAAGCTATCTGACACCTTAATGTAACTTATGTTCTTTATGTTTAGTCTAAGGGTTTTTAAGGTATCATCTGCTAAAAAGCTTATCTGTAGCGACCATCGTATGGTTACTTCAGGGAGCACCATAAAATATGGTTGTAGCAACATTATCGTGGTTGTGAGAAACAAAAGATGGTTTCCATCACGTTGTCATTGTTGTCTCAATTTAAATCTCATTTTATGGTGCTCCTTGAGACAACCGTAAGATGGTTGCCATTCCCAAGGAGGGGGGGAAAGTCAGCATGACATCAAAATGATGTCAAAATGACTTCTAAAGTCAACGTAGGGGATTATTTTGACATCAAAGAAGACGTCAAAATGGTCCCCAATTTTGACCTTACAGGTCATTTTGATGTCATGCTGACTTTGCCTTCCTCCTTGGGTTGCTATTCATTTCTCACTGGTTTGTGAGATCTTGACTGTGCCATCTTCTAAGAAGGTCTATTACAAATAGGATAAGCATTTCATGTCTAGCTGTCGACGTGGGAAGACGGTCAAAGCCGAAAATCGTGACCAACGCAAACGTTCTAAATTAGTCAAGTAGCGTGGTTATCAGACAAAATTCGAGGAAAAACGGGGAAAAAATGACGAGTGATAACAGAACTAATTGACGTTCTTCTGTCTCATTTCAGAACATCGGTCGCCAGTTCTTGGTGACGTACGTCGAACAGAACGTGGGTATCACCGTGTCTTCCTGTCTGTTCGACGGCAACACCCAATACTCGGCGTACTGCGACAAGACGCACTTCTGGCTGTGGCTGTTCTGGGGCACTCACGACGAGATCACGCTCATCAACAACCGCGTCGTGAACGTCTCGGGCAGATGCCCCCATGCAGGCGGCCAGAGCTCATCGTCGGTGAGCGTCAGGAAACAACTGCCATACTTACATACCTGAACACGATCTCCTTAGTCCTTCCTCTTTCCCGCTGTAGAAAAACCTCATCCACATGATCGGCAATGAGATGGACACAAACCACCACCTGGGTATCGAACCCAACAAGGGCGGGATCATCCTGGCGGAGGGAAACAAGTTCATTGACTACTCGCAGGTACGTTCGGACCATTCTTTCTCCTCCCCCCCCCCCAAATTCCCGGTTCTCCGGTCACACCGAGTCGTCTGCCCCCTGCCCCTGCCGCAGGTCATTGACACGAAGGCGACAGGGGGCACCCTGGCGATACCGAGCACCGCCGCGGACGCCGCCAAGTGCCAGGCGTACTTCAAGCAAAACTGCAAGGCCAACGTGTACCAGGGCACGACGGCGCCGTCGAGGATGGACCTCGCCGTGCTCGACGCATTCTCCAAGCTGGACCTCACGGCTGTGAACGGCGCGCGGGCTGCCGCCTGCGAGTAGGAGTAGAGTCCTGTAGGCGTATAGATAGGACTCCACTTGCGAGGTGTGAAGCGGAGTCGGTTGGGTGGCCTAGCCAGTCGGCGCGCGGACCGCATCGCGTGTGGTGCGATAACCGAGTCACTACCGCACTTCTCCTTCTGACGTTGTTTACTATTCACATACTCACTGTGGAGAATTGTCGTATATTCACGGGAGAATTTCCCATGATGTGTGTCGTAAAACTACAATTTGAAATTGTAAATTTGCAAGCACCACGTATCGACTTGGAAGATCGATATCGGGCAGTCGCAAATTTACAACGTTTTTGTGGAAAATGTTTTAAATTTACGAAGATATTTTTACAGTGACTGAAAACTTTGCATCAAAATATTGTTGTAAGCATCCCCCCCCCCCCTCCGGCCACACGCCGGTCCCGCTGCGAAACAGATACGACACACGCGCACGAGCACACGACGCCTCACCTGACGAGGGCGGCACCCAATCACAAACCGATCCACGGGTCATGTGACCAGGTTGGCGCGCTAACCACTGCGGCACAAACAAAAATAACAGGAAAGTCGGGCATTTATGACGCAGACTCATCGGGTGGATTTTGCCTGATAGGAGTGCGAGCTGTGTGCGTATTTGCGATATTTGGCGTCCCCGAGGGCGTCCCGTTAACACGTTGGCGCCGGCCTGCAAAGAGGTCTGGCCTAGATGTACCAATAACTGCCGGCTTGACTGCTCTGTAGCCATTAAATGTTCGATGTTCAACAGAATCATAGAAAATTGGAGAATCAGCTGATTCTAGACTAGTCTGGGCGATTGGTTCTTGGGATTTTCGGTAGAGGACACCTGCACTATGTAAGAATCGACAGTAATTCCAGGCAGGACATTCATGACATTCATCCGCTCCTCCACCCCAAAAAAAGGACACGACACGGCCACAAACCGACCGATGCCGCCATCAGGGTCCTACAGAATGCTCGAGAAAACAGGCTGGCTCCATGGCTCCGCACGGGCTCCGCGGAACCCGTGAGCGACTATGCCGGCAGGGCTCCTCGCGATAAGCCATTTCGTGCCTGCATGTCTTCATTGTAGCCATGAGCCCGACGGTGCCCCAGGCTGCCCTGACCATAGTATGGTCATGACGGTCGGGCCTAAGTGCTATGGTCACCTCCTCAGCCGCAGCCGCGCCGGGTCAAAAGGCTTGCGCTGGGACGTGTCAATCTTGGATGCTGTGTCTTGAAGACGTCGTTATTAACCTACCGGCGGTGAAAAAATATACAGTGCCTTACGATTTTCTGGCACGCAGCAAAACAAACGGGCAGGCCTTCGTCATCTCCATTCTCATCTAGTTGCGAGTTGCGGTCGTAAAGCGAAAATAAAACAATTCTCGATGATCATGTTTCATCCGTGTAAACTGCCAGTGTGCAGTGCATGGGCTAATTTGCATTATTGGCACGCGGCGCAAGTGCGAGATTGGTTACTATGCATTCCGTTTCCTCCTCTGGAGCCGTTCGACACAGGCTTGCTCTGCTCAGTCCGTCGCCTCCATTCGCCCCGCGGCGTACCCACCGCACCCCTCCTGTCCGCC